ATTATCTCTTCTTCCCATATCCCATCTCTTATCTATAAACAAATCCTTAAAGCCTTGTCATTCAGTCCTGGACAACAAAAGTCCATTAAGGGTTACCAGAGATAACAATATATCTATTTTAACCTTGATCAAATAAACCAACTGTGTATTCCTTCTACTTTTAACAATCTTGATCTTTAATAACTTCAAATGATGTCTTAAAACTTTCATTCTTTTCATTTTTTCTTTGATCTTGACCTTAAATCCCTTCAAATAATATCCTAGCATTTGAATTCTTTTCATTTTTTTCTTTCTTGCTTCTCACAAAATCCTTCAAAACTTTAACAGGTCTCCTTCGTAAATCCAATATATAAAAGTTATCCAAGACACTCTTTTGGTTTTTTATTTATATATCCCTTTTAATTATTAAGACATCAGCCGGTTTCATTTGTATATCTGGTGTAGCATCTTTTTCCATATCATTCTTGTAGCCTGTCATTTTTAAACCCATTTTCAAATCAGTCTCAGTCATGTCTGGTAAAACTTGTTCCTCTTCCATAACATCTTTTAAAGACAGTCTATGTATAATGGCAGACACTCTTAAAATTCTTGTCCACCTGTCCTTTCCATAGCCCCAGAGCCTGAGCACCTCACCTTGTTCACCTCATGGTTTTTGTGGCAGAATTAATCATTACTTACCCATCAGCTGTTTCTGTGCCATAAGTGATCAAGGAAACTGATAAACAGGAGTCAGGAAATAAAATAGGCAATGAAAGAACTTAGTAAATCTTGTCCTGGGAAGGAATTATTTCAGATGCTGTTTGCTTTGTAGGTGAAGTCCTAACTGACTTCTAACTCTTAGCTCCTGTACAAAAGTATTTGCTTATGAAGTCTCTAATGTTCTTAATTTAAAAAAAAATATATAAATACAGGACTCTTTGTTACAGTTATCTTCTCCATGAGGTCACCCAGATTCAGCACTAAATTTCAGCTGCAGAAGATCCTGATGCTTAATTCTGGAATGGACTGACTTTCCTGAGTTTAACTGAGCAAAAAAATGGAGAGAAAAGGGATTAATCTCCTGGATGTTAATATTAGTTTTCCTAATAATTCTTGTTATTTATCTCTCCATGTATTTTGCCTCTGGGAGGTTGGCTGGAGAATGAGGAAAAGGCCCTGTTTCGTTCCCCCCGCCCCTCTGGAAGTAATGATAAACACAACTTCAACAGAGGCTATAACCCCAGGACACTTTTGAAGTATACATCTTTGATCTCTTATGCAAGGGCCGTTGGAAGAGCTTGAAAACCAAACTCTATGGACAAGTTCTCCATTTGGGTCAGTATCTACCCTGCTCCATAATCTTCTCCCTTCTTTGTCTTTTGAAGCGGTTCCACGAACCAGTGCCACGCAGTGCAGCTCGGTGCCAGAGCCCCGTTACGGGAGACGGATCGGCAGTGACTTTTCGGTGGGGGCTGTGGTCCAGTTTGAGTGCAATGCTGGGTATGCCCTCAAGGGGTCACACAGCATTGAATGTTTGACGATGCCTGGAACTCTTGCCCAGTGGAACTCTTCAGTGCCTACTTGTCTTGGTATGTATCTGCCAAGGGCAGGACTAAGTGGCATTCACACCTGGTCATTTTTCTGCATGTGCATGTTTTTATATAGCAGACCTTTAGAGCAGTGTTTCTCAACCTTGGCAGCTTTAAGATGGGTGGACTTCGACTCCCAGAATTCCCCAGCCAGTATGGAATTCTGGGAGTTGAAGTCTACCCATCTTAAAGCAAGCTGGTTGGGAAATTCTGGGAGTGGAAGTCCACCCATCTTAAAGTTGCCAAGGTTGTGAAACATGGCTTTAGAGCAACGACCCAACCAATGGGAGGAACTAGAAGACTTTGGCTGATCTTGAAAAAAGCTGAGCAGGGTTGGATCTGGCTGGCTGGGGAATTCTGGGAGTTGAAGTCCACACATCTTAAAGTTGCCAAGGTTGAGAAACACTGTTTTACAGCAAAGACGGAGGCAGAGAAGGATTCAGCTGCTCTCTGTTTAGAGGCCTGAGATTTCCCAACTCCACATACAGCTGTAGAAATCCTGTCTAAATACACCCATCCTGAATTTGTCATGATCACAAGTGTTCTTCAGTTCCAGTGTAAGTTCTAATTTGGGTACATACAGGGTTGTTTGGATCCTTACAGAATTAACCTTTCTGGCAATATTGGCAATATAAAAGCAAGTTTCTAACCTTTATGGCTGTAGAGGTCTGCTTGGAAGTATTTAGATGAGCCCTCCTGATCGCTCAGAAGCCTTGGGTTTGGTGGGAAAACATTTCTTGTGGGTTCAGACTCCTGCATCTTTCCTTCCCCCTTCCTCAAGGCTAGCAGAAATTAAAATGTCTTTTGCTAAATAGTGCTGCAAAATAAATTATGCAGAGGTAGAACTCATTTAATTTCAGTTAATTTGCATCTTTTACCTTGAGTGCAGTTTCCTTTCCAGGGAGACCTGTGTCAGGGAAAATGGAAGGCATGTCTCTGTGTTGCTGAGGGAAATGTCTGGGGCTCCCTAGCAGGTGCAGATCATATGTAGATCCTGCAGAAAAGGAAGGGGGGATGTTCCTGCAGCATGTGCTCCTTTTTTACATTCTGTTAAAGTCACCCAGCCAGGATTAATCTGCAGTTTGTGCACATCTCAGAGTGTGATCATTCTCTGTCTTTGCTGCAAGATTTTCTGCAGGATACGAATCTTCGCTAAAATTATAACCAAACAATGTAGAAGAGCCATGTTAGTCTATAGTAGCCCAAAATTGGAAAGTCTGGTAGCACCTTTGTTAGTCTTCACTGGGGCTACCAGACTCGGTCTGATTTTTATCTCCAAACCAGGAAAAGTAACCAAAGCAAAAGCATTATTCATGTGGGTGGCTGCCTTCTTAGCAGGGCAAAGTAGAAAGGCAGGTGATGGGGTGCTGCTTACCTGCAGAAGGAGGATGGAGCCTTCCCACGTGAGGCAGCAACTGTTAGTCAGAAGAACAGTGATTATTTGTACGTGCAAAAGATGCAGAGATGGGTGGAAGTTTTGGGTCGTCTTTTGGATCTGGAAACTTGTTTCAATGCGTGGCAACTTGTGCAGCAAAATCAAAACTTGGTTCTTAGGTTTTAGGGTGGGGGAAGGTTAGGCATTTGAGAGAGTAATTGGATAATAATTCTGGGGAGTAGAAGCAAGTTCATCAGCTGCCCACTGATGAGCAGAGTGATTTCAGTCTCATCCACTGTTGATCTATCAGAGACTCCCTTGTCTGTTTCAGTGCCTTGTGGTGGAAACCTAACAGAGCGAAAAGGCACCATTTTGTCCCCTGGATTCCCTGAGCCCTACTTGAACAGCCTCAACTGTGTGTGGAAAATAACTGTCCCTGAAGGAGCTGGAATACAGGTAAAGCATAACTCCGAAGAATGGCTAGGTTGACAAGCCAGCTTTGGCAGGGAAGAAAGGACTTGAACAAAGAATGCTTTCTCTTTCTTTCATCCTGCAGCCTAACCAAGAAGTCAAGATGTTGGTCTTCCAATCTGCTTTTCCATGCTAGGCTAGTTGCTGGTAAAACATCTACTGTCCAGGATTTAATCCTGTATGAAAGCACTGATGTGGCAAGTGTCAAGGAGACTATTTATCAGACAGAAGATATTGTAGGCAGAGAGCCGTGTCTATAGCAGCCAAAAAGTCAGAAGGGGTCTGATAGTATCTTTTCAAGCTAACAAATTTTGTTAAAGGGCATGAGCTACAGTTCACTTCATCAGATGCAAAATCTGATAGCAGGGTTCACCTTTTGATGGCCAGCTGGCTAGGACTTGAAGATGGAAGATAGAGTGTAGTGTATAAATTCCTTCTCACTGAACAGACACTTAGAACATGCTGCTGCATTTAGGTAGTTGGGAGACTGTAGAGAGACTCTTAATTAACAGAACTACCCGCCCTGCTACTTCTCTCCCTGAACTAACCAGAGTGACCCCAGACATGTCACTGGATAACCCTCAGCTCCTTATCCTGAAGGATTTGAGGTTGTCTAGTCAAAAGCAGCTCAAGATTTCATGTCCTCCATGACAATCATGGACTTCTCCCAGCTGGATCTGGCTCCATGCTCACAGCAGAGCATAGATTTAATCATCCTACCTAAAAACTGCATGTGAATGGTTTTGGATTGAGCTGGTATACCATAGGCTCTGTGCCATCCAAGAGATGTATGTCTTGGGTGAAAGATTTGAAAATATGGTTATCAGATTTGTGGACAAAACAGACAGGACAGGACAGGACAGGACAGGACAGAACAGAACAGAACAGAACAGAACAGAACAGAACAGAACAGAACAGAACAGAACAGAACAGAATAGAATAGAATAGAATAGAATAGAATAGAATAGAATAGAATAGAATAGAATAGAATAGAATAGGAAATCCTAGAGGACAGGATGAACATTCAGGAGAATGTTGACAACCTGAAACATTGGGCAGGAAGCAGAAAGATGAATTAAAACAGAAACAAATACAAAATTCTATGTCTGGGTAGAAAAAAAAATAAAGGCCTAAGTATTGGGGAGAAGGGCCATACCGGGCAGCACAATATGAAAAGTTCTATTGTCTTGGTGGATCACAAGCTGAACACGATGAAGCCATGCAAAAACCAAATAGAATTTTAAGGTACATCAGCAGAGATCAAGTTCCCTTGAACCTGGTCCCCTTTGTTTTTCATTGGTCAGATCACACCTAGTATTTTGCATCACATTTTAGAAAGGGTGCTGGCAAGGTGCAGCATATCCAGAAGAGCAGCCAAGATCATAAGGGGCCCAGAAGAAAAACCTATGAGGAACAGTTAAAGGTGTTGAATGTATGTTTAACCTGGGAAAACATAATAGCTGCTTCAAAGATGGGGCAGAACTGTTCAGAGTTGTTCCAGAAAATAGGGCAAGGGACAATAGGTTCAATTACAAGGAACTAGATTGTGATTGGACATCTAAGAAGTTTTCCTAATGATAACAACTGTTCAAAAATGTATGGACTGTCTCAGGACATGGTGATGGACTTGCACTCCCTGCACGACCTATGTTGGGAATGGTATAGTGGTAGATGTCTGCCCTGGGGAGAAGGGTGGACTTGATCTTCAAAGTTGTTTCTAACCTTTACCTTCTATGCTTTTTTGATGGAAGAGTGCAGTATTATCTTCAAGCTATTTTATTTAACAATACGTAATAGTGCTAGTGGGCATCCAGGATTGCTAAACATGAAAGTCAATGCCTGAAGGAAAACATAGAGCCTTCAGAAAGGTTTGTCCAAGATAAAAGCCATGAATACTTTCATCTCTGAAACAAATGATCTGATAGCAGAAGCTTCCATATTCTGGTGTCCTATAGGACTCCACATCCATAATTGACTAGTAAAAATCCATCATCTGGAGGTTTTCAGGTTGGTGAAAGTTGTTATGGAGAAACTTGGGATACATAATAATATCACTTTTATTAACTCTTTAGTAGCTAAGGGCCACATAGTTTGAAGACAGTGGCACTACTAGCATCATCTACAACATGAAACTCTCTCAAATGAAATGTATTTAGCTATATACAGTATAAAGAGGGGGGATAGGCCCTTTGAAATCAGTGTGAAAATTTTGCTCTTGAATTTTAGTAGGAATAATTTGCCCCGATCCAACTCTAGGATACCAACTGCAGTTCTTTACGATATACAGTATATTTTAAGTATCAGAGAAAATCCTGCTTTGCTTCAGTAGCCTGGCAAAAGGGAAGGAAGCAATTAGTGTCAGCAACAGAACCTTTTTGCAGCTTCCAAACTCACAACGCGTATCTTTTTGCAAGTGCCAAAGTTGATTAGCAGATCTGTTTTATGTTTTACATGATTTTGCCCTCGATTTCTTGAAACTTGTTTGCCTTGTTATTGGTATTTCCCTCAGCACAGCACGGAGGAGAAAAAGGAAGTTCATTTTAGCAGAACAGCTAAATGCATTGCAAAACATTTGACGCTTGTGATATCAAGGCGATAATTCATTCCATTCCTTTGTTAATTTAAGCGGAGGTGGAGAAAAAGCCACAGAGAGAACCAACCTGCTATTAATACCATTTTTGCTCTATTTCTTTGGAAGGTAGTGTCTAAATTAGAATGCCTTTAGAAGCTAATAGATCATATGCACTGAAGCTAAAACAGCGTTAACAAAAAGGAATTTATTTCAGGAAAATGTGGTTTTTTTTCTTCTTCATGAGAATAGATTCTATTTCCTTCTGTCTCCCTGTTGCATCCCAGTGTTTTCCAAACTTTGGAATAATGTCAGGCATATCATTATGTCATCACAGACATGAGACACGTTATGTTATTTGCATCAGATGCAACTGAAGCAAATTATATCATTAGCATCATTAGCATGGTGACATCATGACATGGCACACATTTCTTGTCCCCCTCCTCTTGCAGACGGTCATGAGTGACATAAAAGCTTTCTGGAAAATTCAACAAAACCTTGCACTGGTATACACAATTATAGCTGCGTTCTTACCATACGTTTACCTTATTGACTGAATTAACTAAGTTTCTACGTTTTCACATTAAACCCTGAGCTAAACAGTCTGGGTTCATACAAGACCCTAAACCAGGGGCCGGGGGGGGGGGGACACACACACACTACTTGATGTTAACATTTAGCTTTGTATAAATGCAGCAGCTGCTAGCTTTGTAACTGACCTGGTTAAACAGGTGTTGTGGGAACCCAACCTTGAAAAACAGTGTTTGATCCTGTTTGTACAGGGGTGAAGTAGATCCTAATAAGAGTAACCAGCATGCATACTGCATGAACTATGATCCTTAGAAAGTTGTGTTAGGATCCCCATATAACTGTGCAGAGATTCTGCAAACACATGGGCTGAGTTGCCACAGGATGCTTGAGTAAGGGGTAATTGGCTGTCTGTGTTTCTGCAAAGGTAACCAATGTGTTATACATGATGACCAGCTGAACATATAACATCTGAATTATTGACTCCTGAATTATTGACTTCCATTAACTCTTGCTTTGTATACCAGGTTAATCCCTGGCAAACCAGGTGAGGTGGTAAGAATGAAAGCATTCTTAGAAGTGGACATAGGTAAAATCTAGCCAAAGTGGATTTTATATACTCTGGTCGCTTGCCAGGACTTTTTGTATGAATTATTCATTTCCCAAGGAGCAATTCTCCCTGGTAGTAAATATACACTGAACGTTCCTGAAATCCTGCACATCATCTTAGAATTACAGCTTTAGAATGTTCTCCCCCCACCCAAAAACAAAAAAAAAAGTTCTGGAAAAGGAAAACTTGGAAGTGAGTTCAGGAGGGGGAGAATAAAACCAATTTTGGGTTCTGTTATACAGAAATCGTTACAACTTGGATAATTATGCAGACTCTGGAGTGATTTGTAAAGGCTCTGTGGGGGTTATTAGCATTTTGTTGAGATGAACTCTAAAGGCTTTTGTGTTGTGTTTATATTTTGATTTAAAGTTTTCACGAAGTTGCTTTCAGGACAAATTAAGGAGGAAAACAGCTTAAAGTGTCAGAAATAGTTATTTATGGGCACCCTGCACCGTTTTTTTCTATTGCATTTAGTGGAGAACAAATTTTGAACTGCCGTGGGGTGGATTTCTCATGTGTCTGTGACTAAAGGGCAGATATAATTAAGTGGGAACTGTTTTATGCGGCATGTCATTTCACTAAAACAGCCTCATTGCAAGTAGAAAGTGCGTATGATCAGGATTAAGGACTTCGCCTCTTAGACTGGCCAGTCAAAAGCAGGATTTCCTAACCAGGTTTCTCTGGAGAGAACATTTCCCAGCTAGCATAGGTAACAGATTTCCATGATTTGGGATATGCAGTGAGAGATTGGTCAGCCTCTGCTCAAACAGAACTTCAGGAACAGCAGATCTGTTCTCAGGATGATTCTGAGGACTGTCTCTACCAATCTTCTGCAACATGTGATGGCACGTGTTGGATGTATTCAAGGGCAGGCTCTCAGTTGCCATGGGGTTAACAGTGAATCTTTGAACTCCATGTCAATTAAAAGTGCATCACAGAAGAGGCCTCACAATGTTCTTCAATGCATTCAAAGCTTGTTAATATAAATTAAACACATTGAGGTGTCTACACTGATAAATTAGTGTGAAAATGTTTTTTATATAAAGTTTGTGAATCTACCATAAAAAAAATTAAATGACATGTGGTTTACTGATTACATTTTGAATGGTACTGTTAGTAGTGGTGGTAACCTTTAATTCTGAATGGTACTACTAATAGTAGTAGTGTTAACAGTAATTACTTTCATCATGATCACATTTCTTTCTCCTCTGTCCTTTTCTCTGTTCCCAGATCCAGGTGATCAGTTTTGTCACAGAACAGAACTGGGATTCTCTAGAAGTCTTTGATGGAGGGGACAACACAGCCACCATGTTGGGCAGCTTCTCAGGTAACTTCTGAAGCTACTATAGAGAGGGCTGTGACTCTCTACCTATCGGATAGTAAATAATATTTATTGTAAGCTGCAGAGGCCAGAGCATTTGGGGTTGAAGCAAGAGTTGGTTTCAGCCCTTCATTATTCAAAGGTGGTTTTCTCAAGAGAAAGAAACTAATATCCAAAGCAGGGTAATGATAGGAAACCAGTCTTTGCACCACCATTGCTGTTCTTCATTTTAGCATCTAAAATCAGTTTCTTAATGAAGTTGAAAGAAGAGAGGGGCCCACAGGGAGGTCTGAAGTTCTGGGACTAACAAACTGGATACCCCTGCCTCCCACTCACCCTCATTTCCCAGAATTCACAAGATTCCAAAATCTCCAGATGATAACATGGACATTTCATGAACTGCATGAGATGTCAATGTTTGCATATACAATTTCTTTAGATATTTGTCTTCACATACCAGATCCATAAGACTTCTTTATTCTAGGAGTAGATTATTGTGAGATTGGGGTGGGGGGGGGAGAGAGAGAGAGATTATAGTATTAGTGTAATTTAGTTTTAGGGAGCCAACCACAAATATTGGGGGGGGGCAATCATTACAACTATGATAGTCAGATGTGTGACAGTGGCAGGGTGTAAAGGAATTTAGAGTTGACCTTAGAAAAGGGATGAGGCAGTGGTTAAGGAGGGACTTGGACAAGAGATCACACAGTCCAGAAATAGAACAAAGTATGAGAATGAACTCAAAGTAATTCTACCTTGATTTCATTTAATATAAAAGATGGGACAGAGAGAAACTTGGACAGGCTTTCAAGATTCCATTATTGTAGCTACAGGTAAGTAGCATTCCTGAAATCCCTGCAGTGTCAATTTCTTGACCTGGTGTATCTCAAAAGGTTGGTACAGACCCTGCCTTATTTCCATGATGAAGACAAATCCTCAAATCCTCTTTTTTTCAAAGCATCAAATTCTAGCCTCACTTTTCGGATGTCTGAGGAAGGCTGTTTTGTCTACACTGTCACCAAGCACGTTGGCATCCCATGACCTGGTTTGACCTTGGGACACTGCCACGTGGGGCGCATGTACTTATTGATTGATTCAATTCATATCTCAATTTGAGTTGAGAAGCTGAAGGTGTTCCCTTCTTTGTGGGGCAGATTGGGCGGAGAGAGACTGGCTATCTGACTGGCCCAAAGCTACCCACTGAATTTCCACAGCTGAGGTGGGACTTCAGCCTGGGTTTCCTCCAACATCTTAACCATTGAACCTCACTGGCTTCTTTGATGTTACATCAGTGTTGGGTTGGATTCTCCTTGTCCTTTTAGTCTTTAAGGCTTGATTTTATCACTCCTGGGCCCTTCCTTGTTCCCTTCTGCAGTCAAGTGAATGAGTCAACATTTGTGTGAAGTAATACTAAGCCATCCTTCCAGTACAGGACTGGACAACTTTTTTCGTCCAAGGATTTTTCCCACCAAAAAGACCACAGTGGGTATGGCAGTGATGTAGTAACATCACAGGAGAGAGTGGGGATAAAACTTCGGGGTGATTTGTTTTTGGGGTGCTTGGCAGGAAGAGAAAGACAGCAAGCAAAAGCTAGACTAACCAAAAGTCAATGAGTTGCTACAGAATTTCAGTAGCATGATTTTGGCCCTCTGAGGCCCATGAAAATTATTTCTCTTGGTCTACATGTGGCTTGCCAATCACAGATTGCTCATCTCTGCTTTAGTGTGATCTTGGCAGTGTTGTGCTGTGGTGGTCCAGCACCAGTGTCATGTGTTCCTAGAATGAGAGTTCCTTTGGACCTACCTAGTTCCCTGCTTGGCTTGCAAGAAATTGTAATGTGGGAAGTGATGAATAAAGGAAGATTCCTGCAGGATGAGGGAGGGCCTTGACAGTACATGTGAGCGAGAAAGGCAGAGGGACAAAAGAGTGACTAATAATGACAAATACTGATCTGTAAGGGAAGCTGTTATCAAACTGAGTGACTACAATGTGGTATAAGAAGGGACAAGTGGCGTCCCTGAAAAGTGTAAGTGGTATATAAAAAAAGACATCAGACATGGTATCTTCCTCTGTTTCCCCAAGTGATTTTTACTTGCAGGGACTGACATGGCTTTCAAGAATCTGAATTCTTCATACTTTTAAAATTCATCTCATAAAAGCTTTCTTATCTCTTCCTCAAAGAGTGAGGTCCATTTTCTTCCCTTGAGACCTGCCAAGTCAAGACTGGCATGATCAGGATCCTCTCCTAGCACTCTGAAACATGCCCTCTGACTGGTTTCCTGTCTCTTGTGTTTCTCCCCTTCCCATTAGGAACCACTGTCCCAGCCTTGCTCAACAGTACCTCTAACCAACTTTATTTGCACTTCTACTCTGACATCAGTGTCTCTGCTGCTGGATTTCACCTGGAGTACAAAAGTAAGTTCATTTCTGTGAAGTGCTAATTGTTTAGGTTGTGTGTGCTGAGTTGAAATCATCATATTATATATGCTAATGCAAGATGTGGTGTGTCCTGTTTCTGATGGATCCCAGATTCAGTAAAAAACACATCCAAGTAATTGTAAGAAAGGGACTGGGATATGCAATCAGTGACTAGTAAATTCTCAGAGAAGTGCATTGGGTGGGATCTAGAACCATTTGGATGTAAACCAAGTAATTACAGAACTTAAAAACCTTTTCATAGAGTCTTACTATTGGAGGAGGCCACCAAGCTCAAATCCCAGATTAGGGCAGGAATCCAAGTTAAAGCATTCCAGACAAATGGCTCTCTACCTTCCAGTTAAAATCATCCAGTGAATGAGAGTCCACCACCTCCCTTGGTAATTGGCATTTCTTAATATGCAGCTGAAACTGAAATCTGCTAAGTTAAATCCATTATTTCATGCTCAGCATTTGGGGATAATAAAATCTTGGCTGGCCTCTATAGTACATCCCTTCTGATTTTTCCAAAAGGATACCGTGTTTTCTCTTAACTGTCTTTTTTCAAAGCTGAATATACGCCCTTCCCTTTAGTCTCTCCTTGTAGAAATTAGGTTCTGGTCTCCTGTTCACAGAACTAGGGACAGGATTCAAGGTATGGTCTGACCAGGATCAAATAGTTGAAAATTTGGTAGCTGGGGAATTGTGAGGAGAAAATCGATGCCAAGTCTTCTGCACCTCTCACCAACATCTAAACATTTGATTGGGGAAGGGCATTTTCTACACTGGGCCAAGATTCGGTTGGGAGGCCTAATTTTGATGTATCTAAGACTGAGAAGATGGTGCTGCCCACATCAGGATGAAATGGCTACATTCATGATGGAGGATTAGCTTTTTGTAGTCTTTTGTTGTCCCTTTTCAGGCCTTCAAGGACTTAAATCTATCTGAGTAGGTAGAATGTTCCTTACCATCTTTCTCTAAATCTGTTCCAGTCTGTTTGAAAACCTTTAAATGATGGTGCTATTACTTCCTGCGATTTGGAAACTGTACTTTTGTTGATCCGTATAGACTTTTAAAGGAACTTTGTTTTTAAAATTCTGGAGCTTGAAACAGATCATGAAACATCTTTTCTGTGTACAGTAGCCAGTCTTACTTTAAATAAAAAAAGTCATTGATTTTTAAAAGATCACTTAATGTTTCTGTCAATACATACACTATTGGGCAATGATTATATGCAGTGGTTGTCTCCCCATTAGCAAATACTCCTTTCCTGAATTGAAATTCAAGGTATGCTTTTCTGACACCTCAAGATTTATTTCTGAGGTTTACCAGATGGACACAAAAGACAGCGCTTGTTAATTAGAGATGCCAGGAATTGATCTAGCATATTAGGCATTTTCTCTGCTATTGAACTATGGATGCTGTTTAAAGATTTATCTTTTCTGGTCATAAAACCGATCCTTCCATTACTAGCTATACTGATTGGCATTCATTGTTCGTGGCCTTAGGCTAAAGTATATATGGAGTAATCAAAGACGGGGGGGGGGGGGGGGAGAGAAAGAGAGATCTTCTTTAGATTTGACCTCTGAGCCCTATCCTTTTTTAAAGTTTTTGCAAGCATTAGGGTTATGGTTAGAAACAAGCTAGGGACCCTCAAAGCACATGTTCTCTACAAGTGAGCTGTGGTCCTTCTCCAAGGGGTCTTTTCTAGCAGAGGTAACTTCAAAAAGATGTTGGAGAAGAAAGCACATCCCTGTACCATGTGCCATAATCTCTCCCTATCAAGTGCTAATCAGGGCAGGACATAGAATTCAGGATAGATGGAAAAGAATCCATGTGATATTTATTTATTTGTTTGTTTGTTTGTTTATTAACTTGTATGCCGCCCATCTCCCCAACGGTGACTCTGG